CGTGAAGCAACCACGGAAAAGGTCCTCCCCTTCATGGGTCGTTCCCACATCGGGGGTCCCCATGGCCTGGGCTTCCTGAATTTTCCCCTCAGAAAATGTGGGGAGGGGCGGCGAATCGCCAATATCTATTGCCACAAGCAAGTCACTTGGGGCGTTCTCTTCGTTTTGAAGGGCCTCGGAATCGGTCCCTTCAGGCACATCCGCCGATTGCTCGTCACGGCGGGAGGCATCTTCAGCCTCCGACAACTCGAGGACTTTGCTCGGGCCATTTTCCAAAATCTCCTCGGTCCGAGGTTGAACTTCTTCGATCATCACCGGCCCAGCGGCATTTGGGGCCTCGGCGCTCCTCTTCGTTCGGGCTACTAGCTCGAAGCCAACATCTTCATTTTCCTCTTCTTCCTCCCTTAGTCGCTGAGCCACATCAGCAGGTAGGGCGACAGTGTCTTTCTTCGACCTGCGGGCCTTGTTCTTCTTCAGTTTTGGAGTATTGGAGGGCGAGACCCTTTTTCTTTTCTTTTCCTTCGACAGCTTCGGGACCGGGGGCGAAACCTCCTCCTCCCCGGACAGGGGCCTCATGATAGAATCTTTCCCGAGCCAGTATGAAAGGAAATCAAGTGAGTATAAGAGGGAAACATTTTAACAAAAGCCATCAGATACGTAAAGAAAAGGCTTACCATGATTTTAGGCCTCCCATCGGCACCTTTCTAAATCGCGCCATGAGCGCTCAGCGTACGAGGAGGTCGAAGCTAGGGTCCGAACCTAGCTCTCGAGGTTCCGAATTGCACCAGGCATCCAAGCGACCGCTACATCATAGTAAAGGATGTCGATGAGGAAGAGTAAAGGAAACAAAACATAGAAGCTAAAGGAAGGATTGAACTTACGCTTCATATTCCACTTCTCGGGAAATGGCATCTTCTCGGCCGGAATTAAGTCGGAAGTCTACACTCGAACGAACCGACCCATCCACCCTCGATCCTTGTCCTCATCTACGCTTGAGAACAGCACCTTGGTGGCCCGACGCTGAAGCTTTATTAACCCACCTCAAAAAAGACGGGGCCTATACAGCCTGATGAGGTGGTCGAGGGTGAAAGAGGTCCCTTTGGCTTTGCTCGCGAAAAATCAGAACAGAATGACAATCCGCCAAAAGGAATGGTGGATCTGACCTAGGGTTATTTGGTATTTGTGGCAGAAGTCGATGATGACGGGATCGACAGGGCCCAGCATAAAAGGGTAAGTGTAAACACTTAGAAACCCTTTAACATGGGTAGTGATATCTTCCTCGGGAGTCGGAATCACCACCTCTTTCTTCTCCCAATGACAGTCTTTCTTGACCTGCTCAAGGTCAGTCTCAATTATCGAGCACATGTATCTCGACATTGGCTTGCACCTGTCAGGGACAGACAAAGTTTTCTTGACTTTGAAGTCAGAAGTAAGATCACAACCCCCTCGAGAACGCACTCCTCAGGGCGCGGCTCCACCGGCGTTTATCGCTGGCCGGCCGCGATGAAGAGGCGCCCTCCTTTTGTGAAATGGTTTTAGACGTTTTTGCCATCTCTGTAAGTTGAAAGAATGAAGAAGGGAATGAGGCTTAGTGTTTTGATGGAAGGTTGATAAAGAAACCTAGAGATTATGCAGCACGAAATAGCTTGAAGGAAGTGAAAAGCTTTGAAGATTAGGGCGGAGATTAAGAGTAAAGTTCGGGCAAAAGAGAAGGAAAGCACATTTATAGGAAGAGGGTGACGGTTCAAAATCAATAATGGCGAACAGCAACTGACAGGAATTTAATGCCTCAATATGCGAACCGACGGGACGTTTCAGTCACTCCCGTCGCTTACGTCATGAAGATGACGTCATGACAGGTCGAGGTACAAAATCGAAGGCTCAATTCTTTTCTTCTCATTACACTCCAAGAAACGAGGGGACTATCTGTATACGGTTAAAACCGGGCCTACCCGATTTTACTATTTTATCGAAGCTAGGGAATTGCATCGAAGGTCGGCCTCGCAACGGACCGGATCAAGGCACTTATCGAAGATCGAGGCCAGTAGCGATCGAGACCAAAAGAGGCAGACATCGAGCGAAGCACAATAACAGAAAGGCGAGATATCCGTGACTGGCCGAAGATCATGGCGTAAATCTCGGAACAGATCAAATCAAGGGCGGTTATTTAGTTAATCATGGGATTTACTTCCGTAATTAGAATTGTACCATAAATAGGATTCATCTACTATATAAAAAAGGTCCTAATCATCTTGTAACCATCTTACATTCACGCATATAAAAGCAATACAATACTTTCTAGCTTATATTCTTGTTCATCAGTTTGCTTCTTAACTATTTTGGGCACCGATTAGTTCGAGGGCACTTAAGCTCGAGGGTTGAATCACGTTTCAATACTGGTTCGTTTTATCTCATTGTTAATTTTTACTGCTAATTTCTACGTTTATTAATTGGTATTAGGTAAAATCACGTGTCCTTAAGACCTATTATAAGTTTAATTGTTATCCAATTTTTAGGGTAAACAAGTATTTTATTTTTTCTCTTGCCAGCTAGCTAGGTTTTCTTATGTGTGTTTCTTAATAGCCAATCTGAAATTAACTTTTTTTGTTAATAATTGTTTTTGAAACTTTTTATTGATATATATATATATATATATATATATATATATATATATATATATATATATATATATATATATATATATATCTTTTTTCTTGAAAATTAGAATCTAGCATAAATTTGTCTCAACACCCAATTAAGTAAGTACTTTATGGCTAACACATATGCCTGATAGATATTTGAGTCACCTCCACATCATTTTGCTTCCACACTTGAAGATAAATCTTCTTAATTAGTTCATTTGCACTATATATGTAATATTTATTTAGGATTGGCTCATTCTTTAGTGTTAACATTAATTTGTTGTACAGCTTGCTTCAATCATTGTACAAACTACAAAGAAAGTCAGATCGCGATACCTTTTCATAATCTTGAAAAGCTTCTTTGCAAAGTTCACTTTTCAACTCTTAATGCATTGACAAGAAACAAAGAATCACCATAACTTCCTCCCATAGTGTAACAAGTCATTCTAGATTTAATTATTCTATCTCAATTTTCCTAATAGTTATTTCCTTTTGAAATTAGACAATTATTCTGTCTTCATTTTCCTAATAGTTACTTCCTCCGTTTCGAAAAAGAATGAACCGATTACTATTTGGGGAGTCAAATAAGATTTTTTGCAACTATATTTTTGCAAATACTTTTAGATATTTTAAATTATTAACTATTGTGACTTATAGTAATTTTTATGCAGTTTCTAAATATATAAATTTTATTTTTAAAAAAATAAAAAACTTGCAATCTTAGTTTCCTCAAAATAATTAGTCAAGTTGACCCTTATGCTTCGAAAAGGATCAAACAAATTGAAACGGGGGATATTTCCTTTTAAAATTAGACAAATTAGTCTTCTTCTTATATTGGGAAATATGTGTTTTTGCATATGTCAGATATTATTTTAGAGAAGAATTAATTTCATTTAATAATTTTGTCTTAAATTTATAAATTTTAAAAATAAATTTTATATAGTTTTTGTCACTTTTGGTGGTCCCAATTCCACTAAGGAAAAATAGAAAAAGAGTTAGCTTATGCATGGAAATTCCAACTAAGAATAACTACCAATCACGGCCTCTACCACGCGGGAATACACGCAACAATCCAAAACAAAGCCGAAATATAAGATTTTTATCATTATTATTATTATTATTATTATTATTATTATTATTATTATTATTATTATTATTATTATTATTCAAAAAAGAACAACTCCACTTTCAAATTTTCTTCTTCTCTACTTTCTCTCCTTTCTCTCTTTCATCTTCACGTCCAGTTTGGCATAGATTCTCTCCTACCAGTTCATATATATATATATATATATATATATATATATATATATCTTCAATATTAGAAATAAATAAAATAAAGAGAGTTTTAATTATAGTTTTTTTGGAAATCCACTATGAATGAAAAAGCAAGAGTTTCAAAGGAGCTTAACGCTAAACATATGAAGGTACTTTCTTTAGCTTTTTCTTCCCTTTAAATTTGGTTTTGTTTTATGCTGTAACAGTATTTTGCGTCAGAATTAACCCAAGTTTAGAATTTTCAAGTAAATTTTAATCCATGGTTTAATAGAGCTAATAAGTTTGTTCATGACTCAGTATTTTGTTCTTGGTGTTTTTTGTTTCTGGGGTTGTTTGATTCTTGAATTATGTACAAAAGACATTATTTCACTTAATTTTTGATGGGGTTTCAATTAAACAACCTTTCTATATATGAAATTCTGAGAAAAGAAAAGATGTAACATTTTCTTTTTTTTTTTTTTGCCTTTTTATATAGCCGTAAAAATCTTAAGGCGTGTTTAAGACCACAAGTTTTCGAAATTATTCTGTCTTAAACGTCGTGTCCAATCAAACTTCACGATGCCACATAGATTGAAACGGAGGGATGGAGCAGTATTTTTCTTCAGAAACCAAAGTTTTTCTTAGTTAATGAGATTGTTACACAAATAGCCAGTCAGATTCACTGTTTACTTTTTCTAGCCGGTATATATAAATTATATATTGATTACTAAATTCACTTTCTTGATTAAATTTTGATGGGGTTTCAATTAAAAAGCTTCTGAATGAAATTCTCATAAAAAAGAAAGAAAAAAAAGATGTGAGCTTTGTTGGGTATTGACTGTTTGTTCATAATTATTCTCATTTACAACTTATTTTTATTGAAGAATATTCACTTGCTTGTGTGCAAAAATAGAGAACTATTACTATTTGACTTTTCATTGACAAATAGGTGGTTGGTATTTAGACTCATTCTTTGACAGACTGCCATATGTTTGTGTCCAACCTGTATTTCAACTGATATTGATTAATACATGTCTTATTCATTTGATATGTCTGAGGTTGGTTAAACATGATAGACTAACTTCTCTGTCCAAACCAAAAATATAAATTATAGAATTTTGGGTTCTTTTTCATTTTAGGCTTTGGCAATGAAAGAATTAAAAAAATAAAAATCACTTAGTATATAAGTTCTTGGAGATTTGATGAGATAATTTCAATGTATTTGATGTCTATGTTGCGCGGATTCTCCAAAACCGCTGTCGCACCCCCATCCATGTCGAATCCTCCAAAAATATAATACTTTTGGAGGATCCGGCATGCACCCATCGACATTTTCGGAAAGTCCGAGCAACATAGTTTGATGTTAATTAGCCCCTATTTCTGAGTTGTGATTCATGCAAAGTTTGGTGCTCGCACCAATAAATGTTACAGTATCAAATTAGTGTGTTGTGGATGTACAAAGCTGCATATGTTGGGAAGGTCATTGAGGATTTTATTTACTTGTTTAACAATAGTAGTGTTAGCAAATAGTAGTAGCAAATGGAGGTTCAATCATTTTCGGATTGTCGTCTCTCTTCTCCCCCCATTTCCTTAGTGATCAGTTTTTCGTCCTACGTGAACTATGAGATTCGTTTACTGAGTCGTTAACAAGAAAAGGTTGGTCGTCATAGAATTACTCTGGATGAACCTTTTTATTCGAATTATCTGTAAGTCATAATCTGTCTAATTCACTTTAAAATTTACACAATGTGAATAGAAGTCACTAGAAACAAGAAAAGTTGCACCGTTATTCGTATGGTGTCACTTGCTTCTTTGAGAATTGAACCGTTACTTGAGGAAACATGATCAAGTTGACCTTAGATAGTCGAGGATCGAGGCATAGTAGTTATTATTGATGTTGTATTGCAGAGAAAACATGCAACATATATTCAGTTTGAAGTAGTCCATTCTCCCCTTCCCGAAGCTAGCAGTTACTATAAACTTTTTCCATTAAGCTTATAGAATGATTCTTTTTTTCTTGTATCCGTCTTGCAGACACTTGAGAGACTACTCAAATTGCCAGAGAATCGAGAATGTGCCGACTGCAAAAGCAGGTATGTCTCTGAGCATCACTATCCATAGTTTGATGCGGACTAGAAATAGAACAGAAAGAAATGTGCTTCCTCTTTTCGTTGAGAATTTTGAAATTGAAAGATAAACAATTAACGACACAGTTAAACACTATTTACGTTGCTCTCTATTATATTGACTATTTATTTTATGTAGAGGTCCAAGATGGGCTAGTGTGAACTTGGGAATCTTCATATGCTTGCACTGTTCGGGTGTTCACAGGAGTCTTGGCGTACATATATCAAAGGTCTGGTTTCACAGTTCTAGTACTTAGCTTTGCTTTCTTTAACCTTTACATATTGTCTACTCCAACTTGCTTTCATCTCGTCATTTGTACGTGTTAGAATCTATGTTGTTCAGACTCCACAAAAATGTTGCTGGGGGTGTGTCGAATCCTCCATAAGTAGTGCATTTTGGAGGATACGATATCGGTACGACAGCATTTTTGGAGAGTCGAACAACATAGGTTAGAATGGTGATTAATGGTGCTATCTCATTACAACTGATCATCTTCACAAACGACTACATTTAACTTTTTCCATGTCTGTTTACATATTGTCTGCTCCAACTTGCTTTCATCTTGTCATTTGTACGTGTTAGAATCTATGTTGCTCAGACTCTATAAAAATGTCACTATTTGTGTGTCGAATCCTCCAAAAGTAGTGCAAGTTTGGAGGATCCGATACGGGTGCAACAACAGTTTTGGATAGTCCGAACAACATAGGTTAGAATGGTGATTTAAGGTGCTATCTCATTACTACTGATCATCTTCACGAACAACTACATTTAACTTTTTCCATGTCTGTTCATTTGCATAATGACGTCCAATTCATTTGTTGATTTTGGATACGTAATATGCTAGAAGTTTTCTCATAACCTTCCAATGTAACTTATGCATTATCGCGATGCAGGTACGATCTGCTACATTGGACACCTGGCTTCCCGAGCAGGTTGCATTTATACAAAGTGAGCAAACGATATTCTCCTCTTGCTCTTATTATTTTCAGCAGTCTTTTCTACTCCTTGAATAACTTGATTTCTTGTTACATTTAGCAATGGGAAATGAGAAATCAAATAGCTATTGGGAAGCCAAGCTGCCTCCGAAATCCAACAGAGTTGGTATTGAAAATTTTATCCGATCAAAGTATGATATCATAGTTGATTGTTCCCCAATTATCTTACTACTATTATTGTTACCAAAATCATAAGTTTCTTCGGTTGAATTTGGGAATATTCCACTTCAAGATCAATTTTATTAACCGCTGTCAATCTGCTAGATATGTGGAGAAAAGATGGATACCACGAAACGGGAATGTGAAAGCATCTCCTTGTGCGAGAGGAGAACATAATTCGGCTAGTAAACCTGGGACTGACCGGGATACAGAGTATATCAAGCGGAATATTGTACCTCCTGAATTACCTAAGCAGGTAGATACAACATTTCTGTTGAATTACTGGATTTGTCTATATTCGCTCGAGGTATTTAGATGCATTTTTTCCAGCGCATGTTACAGGTCGTCTCCACTGCTTCCTTCATTTTGTAGCTACTGCATTGATGAAATACAGGTTGGCAACAAGATATCATTTCAATAAGTAAATTATATCGGTACTTATGAATAGTTATGATATATTACTTTTACTAGCTAAAATAAAAATAAATTTTGCATTAATATTATATTAGAAGGGGAGCCATGGCGTAACTGGTAAAGTTCTTGTCATGTGACCTGGAGGTCACGAGTTCGAGCCGTTTTATATCAATTTAGGACACATTGTTTGGATGTGATGTTTTATTTCTGCTTTTCTGACTCCTCTGTCTGCACATTTAGATTATCTTTTAGAATCTTTTTGGACTCCTTATATCTTTTATGAGTTAATAAAAAATCTTTGTTGTTCAATGTTGTGAACAGATTGTCGCTGATCCTAAGCCAAAAGTTGTTCAGAATGCAAAACCAGTAGCCGCTGTGGAAGACGCAAAGCAAAAAGCAAATGTAATCCCTCTCTGTCTCAATATCAAAAGTTTCGACTTTCTCTTCATACTTTAGATTGATAAGGAATTTGATGTTTGGATATGGTTAACAGGTTTCTCCTGATTCCCATCAAAAGGTTCTTCAGAATGTAGTACCGTCAATCTCTCAAGTCGCAAAAGCAAAACCTGAAGCGAATTTATCCGCAACTGTTTCAACAGCTAGCAACAACTATGCTGCTGACTCAAAAGGAAATGGATCTGTTCTAACGACGCATCCGATAGGAGTGCCCCAACGTATGTCTAACTAACTACAATATTTGTTTGGACTAACATGAAAATAGTTATGCTTCTGCTGCTTATTCCCTATTATCTTTCACCTTGGTTTCTTAGTATTTTGTTATTGTTACAGCTTGTAGTTACAGTTTTCTCGCGTCGTTATTATTTTTCTGGCCCTATTTGTGGATATTGCTTGTTTTTTACTGTTTCTTTTCATCTTTCTTGAGCCGAGGGTCTTCCGGAAACAGTCTCTCTAACTTTCAGGGCAGGGGCAAGGTCTACGTACACACTATCCTCCCAGGACCCCACGTGTGGGATTTCACTGGGCTGTTGTTGTTGTTGATGTTCTTGTTGCTACTTATTCCTGAGAGCTTTTACCTCTTTTAATTTGACTAGAGTTGTTGATCTAACATGCTTGAGTTTTTCACCACTGACTTTGTCTACAAATTTTGCAGCGGCGGAAGCAAAAACAGTAATCGATCAGAATGCCAGTTCTACTGTTATAGAAAACAAGAACAAATTTGATGCTGGAATTGAGGAACTGATAAAAGATTTTCAATGGAATACCCAGCCTATCTTAGAAAACCCCTTGCAAAATGTGAAGAATGAGGTAATGGATCTCTTCGGCGAGGTGCTTCCTTTTATAACATTATCAGTTAGAGTTGAAAATCCGCAAGTTATAACAATCATTATTACTTTATTAGTGCCTCGCGCAGGAATCAGATGGACCAAAATATCACTAGGCTAATACTTAACTGTTCTTCCCCTTTCTACTTCTTTAGTAAAGTCCAAGAGAAGTAGTAAACATTGATTCTCTAGATTGATTTCATAAGATTGTGGAAGTTAGTGTTATTATGTGCAGCGCTAATCTAAGCTGCTCGGACTCTTCACTTTTGGTGCCGCATCTGTGTCGACATAACGTGGGTGTGGGATCCGTACCGGATCTGGTCAACCAATTTTGGGTACTTTGAACAAAATCGACGGAGAAATTTGGGGCAGATACAATGATTTCGGAAATTAAAACAAAGCCTAGGGTAAAATTGATGAAAATGAAATACCTTGTATATTCTGTCAGTTCTATTCCTTTTATCTCCTGCTCCGATTCTCCGCTTGATCAATATTTGCACCCGAGTCCGAGCAACTTAGGCGCTTATAAGGTTGAATGTGTTTTTCTTAAAAGGCCTTTACCCAATTCTCTGCATGATTTCTCTTTACTGATCATATTCATGTAATCGCGCACTGATTGTCCTACTTCTATCCGTTGGCAGCAAGAAAAGTCGCTGAATCCACAGCAACCTCCTTTCGTGCCTACTACGGTAAATCATTTTGGTGGTCCTCAAACCTTGTATCAAGCTTCAAATGGGAACCAGCAATTTTATCAGGTCTGTGGAACTAAGCAGGTCGGCCTATTGAATATAATGAGTTTTTATAAATCCTAAATGAAGAATTCTCTCTTACTTATGTCCAGCTTTTTCATTCAGATGGGAAGCGCTCAATATTTACACGCATCTACGCCATCACCCTATGCTCGAAACCCCAGGTACTCGAAGCATTATCTTGATTTGCAAGGTGTTCATATCGCGTTTACCTCTTTGTTGAGGCTGGGTGTATTTTTCCCTTCTTTAGGCTAACTCATTTTCTGAATTTTGGTTCTTGGATGTTTTATGAAGGATAATAGTATAACGTTCGCGATGAAACAACTACCATAAAAACAGCTGAATAACCTTAACAACCACGCCGTCTAACTGCTGAGAGATGATGATCTTTCTTGGGGTGGGGGGAGGCGATCTTTCTTTTGGCGTCTTCTTTTCGAAGGGATGTAACTTAAACCGGGTATATATTTTCTTATTTTTTNGGACCGACGAGTAAGAATCCTCATTCATTTCATCAAGCATGTGAACCCGTTTTCCCAAAAGAGAGGGGGGGGGGGGATTGGAGGAAATTATTAATTATAAGGGTAGTTGTTTAACCAAAAAAATAAAATTTTAGTCAAAGCTAGAATCTAGAAGAACTCGGGTTACTGATAATCAAGAAAATGTAGAGAAAAGAAGTAATTAAGGAGAGTAAAATGATAATCAAGAGAAAATAAATTAATATATTATTCCCCAATGTTTCGTGTCTACAACTGATCGTATATCTCCCTTTTTATAGCTACTTTTGAAGATATCCGTTTTATTCTAATTATAATGAGGCTATTATGAGACATTAAATGTATTAAATGCTCTGTTACACAATCATTACATAGGAAATATATTCTCTAACGTATTCAGTATTTAATGCCCATTAAATGTCGCATCTACACTCCTTTATATGGCCAGATTCATTCCTTTTGATTCTCGGATATAAATGGCTTATATAGGTACGGGCGCTGTGTTACTTAACTGATGTCCCGTGCCTCTTCATCTTTCTTTGCTCGTATTTGTTGTAACCCCTGTCTCGTGACTAATCATGATTCTTTGACCATTTGACCAATCCACGTGTCTTGACACGTCACCTTTATATAAATAAAATTTCCCCAATACAGGGGGTTAAAAGAGGAAATGGGAGAAGAAAGAAGCACAAAGCTTTTTCCATTAAAAGCAGACCAGTGATATGAGTCAAAAACTCCCTATAACATCGTCCTGGACATTTTTTTGGCTGCTATAGCGAAGTGTTGTTATAGAGAGAACATATATTATAACATAACATGACAAATTGGTTCCAAAAAAAATAAATTTGATCGTTATAATGAAGTGTTGTTATAGAGGATGGCTGTTATAGAGAAATTTGACTGTATTTACTACTGCTAGGCTTCGAACTTTCAACCTTGCTTAGGATCTCACATTCGGAAAGATTTGTGCTAATTTAGTTAATCTATCATAAGCATAATTTCCTGTTTAATGTTGCTTTTCCAATGAAATTGTTCGAATTATCTGAATAGAGTTAATTCAGCTCATTATAGGAAAGATCTAACAAGATCCAGGGGTTTCATAAAACTTAAATATGGACCATTAATATCGTGGTATGGCTAACTTAGCTATACGACGAGGTAATAACCTGTTGTTTTTTCAAATTTGCAGCATGTTTTCTGCAATGCCAGTAGCTCTAATGAATGGAATAACACCAACAGGAGCTATTAGACCTTTGCCAAGTTTGCCAGCAGTTTCAGTTGATCCAATGCAATCAGGATACCGTTATGATTTCTCATCGTTAACGCATGAAATGTTATCAAGACGATAAATTATCGCTGGATTTATATTGCTTCTCCATTTATCTAAAATCTGCAAATATTGTAAATGTTAGAACAGTTCCACAGTGACTTCTCCCATTTTTTCTTGGAGGTGTTAAACATAACAGGGAACTAAGCTATGGTACCATCAATTATTGGTTGATCCATGTTATAGCAAGTTGTTCTTTTATTAGACATGGTAGAATTTTTTCATATATTAGATAAACTGAAAATGTGGTTCTCTACGTCCCTGTAGCATTAGTGTTATCCTCGTGTTCAATATTTCTAGATCGCAATTATTACCTGATGTTTCCTTTGCTTCGGTTTTAGTTTTTCTGGCTGTTGTTACTGTTTCGCTTTTCTTTTCTTTTTTTGTTGTCATAACTGATGTGATTTTGCTTTTATTGAACCGAGGATCTTCCGGAAACAACCTCTCTATCTTCACAGGGTAAGGATAAGGTCTGGATATATACTACAGTCCCCCGACTCCACTTATGAGAATACACTGGGTATGTTGTTGTTGTTCGTAGTTCTCTACGTCGAGGGATGGCGGAAAATATTCAACCACACCCTGTGTTTATACCAAACCACTTCATTTACCACAATTAAGTGTAATTTAAGGTGAAAATATATATTGGTTAATCAAGCAGAGACGAAGCTAGCCTTCGATTTACGAATTCGATAGAACTCAATAGCTTGACTTAGACCGTAAATTTCATTATAACTTAGCATTCTTCAGCCAGTTAAAATTTTAATTAATCTTGAAAATTTAGTAAAAATTGCACGGGGCGCCCTATTTGGTCGCCCCCATTTAACCTATACCCATTTTTTTTAAAACTTTTAATTTGTACCCACTTTTTAAATAACTTCACCACCTTTCTCCTCTTCCTCCTTATTCTTCTTTCTTCTTCTTAGCCAAACCTGATACTAGCCGTGAATGCAAATCCAGTTCCGTTGCTTCCTTTGTTTTCGATAACTGGTGCGTATTGTCAAACTTGGAAATATCAGATACTTGAGCAGCCACTAACTGTGGATAAACTCATATTCACATGAAAACTTCAGCCCTATTTACGTTGTGGCAATGCAAGACATGACTTGCAGCCACGATAATTAACCAAAAAGTTCAGAATATTGTGAAACTTTCGACCAGACTTGCAGCCACGATAATTAACCATAAAAAGAAGAGGAAATTGTAGCTAGATAGAAACTGCTCTAGAGCTGAAGTTTTCCAGTTACAACACAAAAACTTCAGCTCTTGTATCTGGCGAATTTCAGCTCTAGAGCTGAAGTTTTTGTGACAGTTGAGTTATGACAGTAGTTAAAGTCTTCCCTTCTTACTATGAAAAATGCAGGGGCATCCAGGTCTGAACAAGAATGAAAGAAAGTGTTTGTGCAGAATATTAGACTGCAAGAAATTATCCATGGAAGTCTGCATGCATGCAGCTCAAAACGAATTGCTCCCATTAAGGATAGTAGTTCAAGTTCTGTTCTTCGAGCAAGCTCGAGCCACCATGTCTGGTGGCCATATAACTGAGCTCCCCACCCACATCAAAGCGCTTCTAGCTAACCATGATGACTTATCAAAGACTTCTGCATCGTTCAAAATGACCAGTGGAGCTTTCAACTCTGAAAATGAAGCTGGCAGAAAATGAAGATTTGGAGGAAAATTATGTTGATGGAAATGGGACATACTCACGAATAAAAGTTTCCTGCATATTTTTTGTTGTAACTGGGAAACTTCAGCTCTAGAGCCGAAGTTCGCCAGTTACAAAGCAAAAACTTCAGCTCTAGAGCTGAACTTCAGGCTCGGCTACTAGAATGCTGAAGTTTTGCGTGATTGCCTTTGCTACTTCAGCCCCGTGTGCTGAAGTTATGTGAAAAAGCGGGTACGCTTGCAATTTTTTTTGCAAAGTGGTCACAAGTTAAAATGTGGCACAAAAAACGGGTATAGATGCAAATTTAGAGAGAAGAAAATATTGGACAACCAAATCTCAAACTATTCTATTAGATTGTACTTGTCTCCATAATCAACATCAATGTAATAGGGATTTGTTGTCCTAACGTATTAAAAATATGTTAAGCTATCAGTTCCCAGGATCAATTTTGGACCAAGGTGTTCCCATAATTATTATTAAGTTAACTAACATTAAATTAAGGAGTACGTCTGACCTAATATTTATATATATCTTGCTTGAGCTAATCACTTGTTTTGTCTCATCTTATCTAAAGCCTATTCATTAACGTTTGACCTTTTTATTTTAAAATAAAAAATAAATAAATAAATAAATAAATAAAATTTTGCACTTTAATATTCGAGTTAGTTTAAGATCTTCATGACATATAAATATAATTAAGCGTTTAATGATTGTCCCCAAAAGAATGATACATCTTCTTTTCATAAATTTTTAATCTTAGTATTTCAATTTTATCCTTAATGGCATGATTTCCAGAAACAGCCATTCTGTCTTTTTAATGACAAGGGTAAGATCTACGTACATTTTATCCTCCCCAGACCTCACTTGTAGGACTACACTGAGTATGTTGTTGTTGTTGTATATTTAATGACATGATTTGTTAGAATTCAATTGATATAAAAAATTATGAGTAGAGAAAATGAGAAAAATATGTGGAATTGTCACCACTACTCATTTAAAAGGATAATAAAACTAAATTCAATGCAATTTTGAAGGAGATAATAAGAAAAGACACAATTCATCACCACATGTAGATGACGGCCGTTTAGTTTCACCACCGGCCATAACTATAAGCCAAACAATTTAAAGATAAGATTTTGTATTTTGTAGCAAAGAGTGTAATAATATTCACACCAGAAATGTACCTTTCTTGTATTGTACGTACATGGTTTTGAAGGTTGAAGTTTCCTCATCAAAGCACATATAAAGCAAATGTTTGTTTCAAAGTATAATGTGTTATTCTCTACTCGGAGGCCGAGTCAGAATTTTAAGCTTATGGGTTTGGGATTTTGATCATTTTAAATTACTGGGTTATAAGTTAGTAATTTGTACATATTCAACAAATTTTTAAGACAAAGACAAATTTTTAAACTAAAGCTACTAGGTTCGGCCGAACTTGTTCCATCAGTACTCTAACTGTGCCCTGATTCTATAAATTATTTCCCAAGTAATGTTTAATAATTTGGTTGACAAGAGGAAAAGGAAACTTCAGCTTATAGGAAGTCTAAATAACAAGTTTTTTCTAAGTCAGTCTGAGATTTTAATAAGTTTTTAATCATTCCAAATGGTACTTTAGTCAAGTCAATAGTAGTTCATCACAAGTAGTTTAGTCTTTATATTTCCATTTAAATTAGTTAAACGACCGCTTTTACTCAACTTCCGTCAAATCAGGAATAAGATAGGCTGAATACATACATTTTTTATTTAGATACTTTAAGAGTTTAAGTAAGCTTTTTTTTTTTTCCTATAGTAGATTCAAAATGTACCAATCATATATATTTCGCTGACATATATAGTTGATAGCATGAGTTGCGCTGTGTAGAATATATACTCTTTAGCTTGACATTCCTGATTGTAGTTTGCCAAAAAGTGAACCACAATTAGTAGCTTTTTAAAGTGAAAATAGAGTAATTAAGAGATAAAAGTATGTATGAACTTACATTTATGCGTCGAAAATACTCCTAGCACATCAGTAAAGGACAGTGAATACGAGCATTATACAGGTGCAACAGCACGCCTGTATAGGTCGAAATCTAATCAAAAGAATTCCACTTAAGGAAGAACGACCAGGAGTCAACTAAGCCAAAGTCACGTTTAGGAAGCAATACACCGGCGAATGATTCAGCTACGGTCGAGGTCGAGAACTCAGTTCGGCCCGAACGGATAGTTCAACACTTAGACATTTTAGAGGAAATTCTACAGGATATTCCAAGAACCTAGGTACTCCAGTCAAGAACCGCTGGATAAGAAAAGTATTTGGTATAAATATCATGAGAGAGGTAATAGAAGGGGGGTTAATGAGAACACAGAGATACACATACATTCTTCTGAGGGAGGAGAGGTACCATCCTCCCAGGCTCTTCGCCAAAAGGGGGATAAATCTCAGGATCCTGGATTTATCTCAACTTTATCAAATGTATGGAAGTCTATCTTGTTCAAGAATGGTGATTCTTTTCCTTTATGTATTCTTCGTTATCATTTGATATTATTGAAGCCATCTTCCTTTTCTTACATTATGGAATCCAATCACGACTGTAACCAAGTTATACGTTCAGCTATGCTTGTTTATTCTTGCCTTCTATCTCAGATCTAGGATAAATTATCTCTAGCTAGGATTTACCCCATATCTTCTTATTTAATTAGTTTAATAAAAAGGCTTGAAGGTTTTTGGAAAAACAATTTGGCGTCGTCTGTGGGGATTTCCTAGCCAAAGTTTTAGTTTCCTCTAGATCTAAACTCGGTTCTAGTTCTACTTCCCGTTCGTTGTAACTTCATCCTTTCGCCTGTATGCTTGTGGTGTGGCTTATGTTTCTGTATCTTCATGCACTCGGGACTGGATCGGATTGGGACTTGAACCCGAATATCCCAACGGGCGAAGTAAGTCATTAGCCCACGAAGTACCCAGATTCGACTAACACCGAAGCTAAGTACAAGGCTGAGATCGGATCTAAAGCTAGCACTCAGTTCATTGCCAATCAGATGGATGGAACTTTCCAAACCTAAGTAGCGGAGACGGGAAAAACACCAAGCCAAAGGCCCACAAGATGTCATCCGAGTTCGATGGATATCAGCTCAACCCACCAACCAACCAATCGAGGTAACAAACGATTTTGTTTGTCTTAACTTGCTATTTCTTTTCAGAGTGGGACAGGTGCAGGGGCATCCTCACAGACGCGCAAGCAGGGAACAAACGCCATCAAAATAGCACACCAAAGAAACGCTCCGCGCCATATTGTCCTGCAGGCAACGGTCGAGCAACCCCCCCCCCCCCCCAATAAGTTGGTACTCAACGCCATAAAGGAAAAATCTGTACGGACTGGGACTGGGTCACCAGCCCGGAAGACATACAAATCTTTCCAACATACAGACAGAACACAAGTGCGTGAAACTCACCCACGCGCTCGCTAAAGCCACTATGCGATGACACAACTAGCTAAAATACGATCTCGTACATACATTAAGACATCCCGAAGCTTGAGCGAGACATTCATCACCCGGCCTATCAACTACCTCTCCAGGACGAGCAATGAAGGGACTAGATAGACTG